GCAAAATGAAATCACATACTCCTTAGCTGTCACACTCTCAATAACCCCACCTTCCCCAGCCCAAGGCAATCACTGATCTACTTTTGGTGTGTATATAATTGCCTACTTTGGATATCTGATATAAAAGAAATCATAAGAATATTGTCCTTTGTGACAATGAATGTTTCTGGAACTAAATATTTTAAGTCGAATATGTGGAATAGTCAGTGCAATGAGGTCAGAGAAGGGGAAAAGGAAAAAAGAGGAGGGACAATTTATGTGTGTGTGTGTGTGTGTGTAATGAGTATCCACTATAAATCAGGCACCAAAATATGCCAGCCAATAGACTTATCACTGAGGGGCTTTGAGTAGGTAAAAGATAGGAAAAGACAGTATGGGGGCCAGCAGATGGCGTGCTGGTTAAGGGTGCAGGACTCCCACAGGGCCAACTGTGGTTCAAGTCCCAGACCTGGCAGCTTGCTTTCTCACTTTCTCTCTCTCTCTTGCTCACTCTGCCCCTCTCTAGCCAAATTAAAAAACAAGCAAACAAATAACTAAATAAAGTTAAATAAAAATAATTCTTTTTTATAAAAAGAGAGTACATGTGTACATGCTAGAATGTAGGTAGTTTGTGAACATTATCCTCGAACTGCTTTATTTTCCTCATTTAAACAAGAAACAAGGTCATCATGAGAGATTGAGGTTGGAGTTTGCAGGGAGAGAATATAGTACGATTGCTTAGCAGAATTAAAGACCCACTTGAGGTTCATGGTCATGAATTTAAAATGAGATCAGTCAGCAGGGTTTTAAGTTTATCTCCAGTCACATTTAGCTGCAAAAAAAAAAAAAAAAAAAAAAGGCAAAAACTGCATGAACAGAAATTTCACCAGATTATTTAACCAGAGTTCATCCATACTCATGGTTTTGACTGCACCTAACATACTGGTAACTCCTAACTATTCATTTCCAGTGTGGCTATAACCTCCTGACATAGAAATCTTGAGGTGACTTCACAGTCAAAGCTCCAACTGGAAGGAACTTAGATTAAAAATGAAACAGAACAAAACAAAACAAAATTTAAAAATGGTTCAACACTGTTTATAAGGAAGGCATGCTACTATGAGCTTTATGTATATTCTCTCAAGTAAGTCTCATAATTTTTCTCTTAATAATCATCTCCACCGTACAGAAACCCCAAATTCCCAGTGATTAAGACAAGGTGAGGCTGGGACTAAACCGTCAGTCTGTATGACTCTGAAGTCCCATCTTTTCATTTATCATGAAACTTAACCCCCCCCCTTTTTTTTTTTTATAAATAAGGCATCTGGGGTCTAGAGATGTTGAATGATTTGCCCAACGTCAAACTGTGCTCTAATGGCACACACGCAGCCTCCCAAGTGAATGCTCTTTGACCACCACCATGCTAACCTTCTTTACACTTTCTGCTCTGGGGTTTCTGTTTTTAACTGTAACTATCAATAGGTTTGGCTGTTTTTTCTTCAATTTTTTTTTTCTAATCACCTATTACCTTCTATCCACTTCCTATTCTTATGCTTTTACTTTATGCTGAATCATTGGAAAAAACATAATGCATATTTTTTTTTTAAGAGGGATTTTTGCTATAAGATGGAGCCGGTGGCTTGGGACTCAGGCTGCGTGCATGTGCATGCGTGCCCAGGATCCCAAGAGGAGAAGGGATTGCGGTGTGGCCAACACCCCCCTAACCCACAGGAGTGATTTCTCGCTTTCTGTCTCTCGGGTGAGTGCACATGCCCTATACCAAAAATTTCTCTAAAAGAAAAAAAAAAACAAAAAAAAGAGAGCAACAACAAA